TAACGCACACATTTTCACTTGTTCAATTCTCACGAGTGTAGCTTGTGCGCTGGGATACGTGGATATTTCAATAGGCACATGCGAACCTATCGGTTGTTTTTCTTTCAAGCATTCATTTGGTTCACTTCCATATTCCGATACTTCCAGCACCTAATTTGCTTTAATCGCAAATTAATTGGTCAGTTTTAAAATCTCGCATATCCGTATTGATTTTACATAATGTTCGATAGGAAAGGTATAAAATTATAATATATAATCCGAACTGACGCTAAATGTGCAGATATTAAATGTGCGAAAATTAATATTAAACGCAAAAAGTTTCTATTTTTTTTATTTAAAAAGATAATTATTACCTCAATATCTCTTTCTCTTTCTCTCTTTGATATTTTCTCAAATTTTAATATTATAATCGTATTTTATAATCAGATTGTCTTGAATATATTGTATGATAATTTCGTATCTTTTTCGTGATATACGAACACATTAATACAAAAGTCAACCATATGAAATACTTGACACTAAAACTTAGGACAATCCACAGAAATATATATTTAGGCAATCTACTTATTACTCACTATGCAACTCTTTCTTTTCCACGGTCACCGTCGTCTTTCCAATGAGAGCTTTAATGCGCATAGTTTACTTATTAGAAAGTAACCCTTTGCGTGTTCACACGGATGCAGAAAAGCAGTGTGTGGACTGCGCTTAACGATTTTCTATGTACATTGAAAGTTGCTTGATAAGTCAAATAATTACCTGCATACTGTTGTAAACTAGAATAGGCGTTGCTCAGCGAATCCTGAAGTCCGTTTAACGGCGTTCCCGTCAAGGAATTGAGCGTGAGAGATGTTACAGGACTAAGACTGCCCCCGGTCGACCCTTGAAGATGAATACATATTATTTTTTATGTATTCTTAATTATAAATTTCGATACGCAAGCCTAATTATTTCTAAGGCACTTCTCACGTGCTGCGATACCGCAAGAACGTCAGTTCTGAGTTTGTTATTATTATTAATAGCAGAAAGCAACGTATTTGTGCAATATAATATATTAATTCTATCAAGTATTATTATTCGGTATTTGTATGAAAAAATTTATTTAAGAGAAACAAGATCAATTTTATTTAAAGATATACTCCTTATGATAATCTTTCTTTTTATCTATTATATTAATTAATTAAAAAAATTGAATTTACAGAAAAAAATTAAAAATTTTAATTATAAATAATTACATTTAAAATTAATACAATAACGAAACTTGTAATAACAATTTGTCATACTTTTATTTGAGTCTTAATTTATTAAATTGTTTAAATAGTGAATAAATATATTCATATTTTCAAAGTTATTTTTAAAAACAGGAAATATACAAAAAGAATTATAAATAGTGACCGCTCGGTGGATTTTTATCCTTTCTTTTCCTTGCTATTTTAAAACTGAATTGTGTATCAAATATCTTATGATGAGATATCAATTACAAAAAAATTTCAAGTTGAGACTAGAATTGGTTTAAGAGATAAGAGGGGTCAAAGTTTATTAAAGCATTAGCCTATATACTTTGAAGCATGAATTTTTATGTCAGTCCCATAAAAATCCTCTTAAATCAATTTTAGCTTTAACTTAAAATTTTTTTGTGATTTATATCTCATCATAGAGTATTATTTGACACATAATTCATTTCCAAAATTGCAGGACCAAAAACAAGCTATTTTTGCGAATACTCTTTAAAATATGCATGAATGAATAAATTTACAAACGTTTCAGTATGACACATATAAAATACTTCGTTTGATAAAAACTTAATTAGTATTTTAATAGTTTAAATTTTAGAGAACACAAGAGTGTCATACTTTTTCGATATTGAGATAAAAATTCGCTACGTAATAAGATATTAATGATTTAAATATAATTTAAAAGTATAATACACATATGATAATATATATTTCATGCACGATAATATATAAAAAAATCACGCGCTACTATACCCGGGTTAATTGCGATAAGCGTTTTATAAAAAAGTTCTGCTCTTCTTTTTTATTATGCACAGGTATTGTTATCGATTAAATTCTTATTATGGAAAATCGTGCACCCATTAATTGCAATAAGCGTTTGTGCAAGAATCCTATATTCCCAATGCATCTCAAATATACACACACAATAATTTAGATCATATATACATATTGTTAAAACTACAATTAACGATAGAGAATAAAAATCTGTACGTTCCTAAAAACACACTGACAAAGTCCCAATTAATGTATTAAATCAATGTGTGAATATTTTTACAATTCAATGTGCAGTACCAATCAGTTACTAATTGATCGGTTATTCATATTCGTAGAAATATATACATATGTACAGGATGTCATAGAACTATCGTTGTACGATTTTTCAGCTTACAAAATTCAATAATTTGACGTTCATTACAATTTGCTTTTGCGACTTTAAACGCTATTTCCTTATTATTTTTAAAAATATTTGTCATACAATATCTTCTAATTTGTATTTAAATTAAATTTTAAAGTAAAATTCACAATTAAAAATAAGAATTTACCATCTTGTTTCATTTGCAAGCATTTTGGTCATAAAAATCTATAATTTTCAATTATATGAATCTATTTTAATGCCATAAATAAACGGATATATATATACACACAAAATTCCTCATACATTAAAAAATTTTTTTAGACTTTTATAATTCATATACGAACACTATCACACTATGATGTGTACAAAATTCAAAATATAATATTGTTTGAAGCAGGAGAGGTTCGAACGTTAATGAAATCTACAGCCAACAATAATTATCAATATTGCATCATAATATACAGAAAACAATATTAAAAATATATAAATGAAATAGAAAGGGAAAACGATGAAAAAGGAATTCGAAAGGAAGATATATAATGTTGCGATATACGATAAAGAATGCGAATCAGCCAAACAATTTCTCTTCCTATGAGTATCTCACCTGTATTTCCTGTTTTTCCCAGAAGAGCAGCTACGCACGAAAAAAAAATACGCAACGTTAAAATTGAGATGTACATTCACATAAAAGAAAATAAAGAAACGTAAAATATGTAATTATAATATAATTTGTTATGACATATTTAATGTGATATAAAAATAATAGAATATTTCTGCCTGCAATTAAGATTATATTATACACAAATTTACATAATAGCATAAATACAAACTTGAGAGTTAAACAGCAAATATCAATTTCTTTGCAAAAATATTATACAATATGCTCTTATGTAAATTTCTATGTTATATGTAATACTACTATACAGGTGTCCAACTTTAATTTATCATTCCTTTTCTTTTTATAGGATAAGATTGAATTAAAAATATGTTCAGAAGATGTGTAGCTTCACAAAGCACAAATAATAAAATTAATTTTCAAAGAACTCGATTTTCATGGATACTCATTTTTTAAAATGGAATTGTATGATTTGTTTACATATCATAATATTCCAATAATTGTTCTACGTATAAAAGTATATTAAAGTAGAGATATTAAAGAATTAATAGTTAACAAGATATACAGGGTATCTCGTAAGATGGGTCGGGGCCACATTGGAAGAATGGATCAAAGGGAACAAAAAATTCTTATACCATTTTGAGATACTTGCTATAGTTTTCGAATTAGAAAAGGAAACGTCTAAGCCAATATACAGTTAAGCCGCGCCGCGCGAATTCGTAGGACGGCCCACACTCGAGCGACAGCGCCGGCGGTACGTAAGGAGGGGAAAGAAGCGAAACACATAGGACCATCATGCCAGGCAATGAGCGCTTCTTTCCCCTCCCTACGCACCGCCGCCGCTGCAGCTCGAGTGTGGGCCGTCCTACGAATCGGCGCAGCTTAACCGTATATTGGCTTAGACGTTTCCTTTTCTAATTCGAAAACTATAGCAAGTATCTCAAAATGGTATAAGAATTTTTTGTTCCCTTTGATCCATTCTCCACCTCCAATGTGGCCCCGACTCATCTTACGAGACACCCTGTATATTTTTTAATTTATTCTGGCATATTTTGAAAATATAAAATATTTCGTAAACTATTAATTTTTTAATAATTGTATCTTAATATTTTTATGTATATAATAATTAGATAAATTAATTGATAAAAAAAAACATAATTGCTTCTAAAAGAATATGTAATTTGTAATATGCAACTAGAGGAAGGGAGAGAGTTACGAAATAATATTTTATTTTATTAAAATAGTATTCAGTAGATTATATTCAGGTGATACAATTAGTTTTGTATAAGTTTTAATCATAGGGCATAGAGTGATAGTAATTATATAGATATACAGAAGTTCTTATATATTATACAGTATATAAAATTCTTATGCATAAAATAAAATTTTCTAGAATATATAAATACGATTAATGATCAAAAAATTAATAATAGGATATTTTATATTTCATAAAAATGTGCCAGAATAAAATATAAAATATTTTGTAAAGTATTAATTTTTTTATATCTCTATCTTAATATGCAGAGTAATTAGAGAAATCATTATGTAAAAAAAATCATACAATTTTATTGTAAAAAGTAACTATGACTTTCATATAATTATGCTAAATCGATTATTCCAAAAATCAATTTTATCATTATGTATCCCCTCAAACCATACAACTTCTGTTGGAATATTTTTTATTAGACCTAATTTATCATGCAAAAATAAAAGATATAATAGATTAAAATATGACATACTGTATACTGCGATTTTAATTTTTCAATAATTGTATACGTTAATTCAATTATATTTATTAAATATTTTACAAAATAAAAAACATAATAAAAATTTAAGATTTTATGATAAGCTCTAGAGAAAGAAATCATTAGTAACAAATAAAAAACTATTTAAAAATTTTTAACAGAAAAATTGATTATTAAAAATATATACGTATATTCGGTTTTTAATATCTGAAAATTTTTTATGTATCTAGTTCTTTATCGTAATTAGCTGTTAATTATAGTCTTCAAATTTTAGAGTGAATATCACTCCAAAGAGTGAAATCTCACTCTTAAAATTAAGCTACTTTTTTTAAAGATTGGTTCAATTTTCACTCTTTAGAATGAAATTTCACTCTGATGAATTTAGAGAATAATTTTATCGATGCTTCGATATTTCGAACTCGGAATAACCTTTAAATTACGTTATAATCACACAAGAGAATCATAATCATACGAGTTTACATCTATCGTGAAAATTGATATGAAGATAGAAATAGAGAATATGAGGAAATTTGAGAAATGAAAGGGAGGGAAAGTGTAAGTACGTACACATGCGCGCATGTGCACGTACACTATTAAATAAGCGAAATGGAAAATCAGACCATCAACAGGATTAGGGCCCCTTTTGCGTGATCGAAATTAATTTAGTAATTGTTAATACTGTACCAGGCAATACGACACGTACATAGCGACATACCTGCTGTCGAATTCGCCAGACCGCTTAATGCTGAAACACAAAACACGTCCGCGATATTAGCAAAAGCAGAGTCGATAATATGTATACGATATGATCACGAGAAACACTCCGAAGCAGAATTTTTCCGATGATGGTTGATATATTTTTAATTGCCATTAAACAATTTGTACAGTCAACGGCTTTATTTGTATCAAATTAATATGATGAATCAAATTGCAAGGTGAGTTGGTTACGTCTGCAAAAAAATATTTATAGTCTTTATCTTTTGCTACTATAGTGTAATATTATATATTACATAAGCAATTTATTATTATTTATTATTTATTATTTGAATATTTCACTAGATAAAATAAACTTATAAAATTTTTTGTACAATGGTTGCAATAAATTGTGATAAAATTGACATTTATAATTTAGAAAACGCAGTAAGGTTTAATAATTTTTTAACAATAATATTTTTTAGTATTTTCCATATTTATTTTATAATTTAATGTCTGATTAATAAATAATTAAATGTCAGTTTATTTTATTAATTAAAAGATCTTATAGACGATTTTTTGACTATATATTATACTATACACACACACACACACACACACACACACACACACACACACACACACACACACACACACACACACATGCATAGTTAAATATAAAATTAATTATTGAAAGAAATGCAAAAAAATACATGTAAGCACATTTCTGATCTCTCATTTTGCAATATTAAGATTTACTATTTCTGTCGACTGGACTGTTCATTATAACTATTTGAAAAACTCATTCCTGTATAAATAACACCCTCTTTATGAGTGATGAAACGCAATGAAGCAACTTGCATACATGACTTACTTTGTTGTTGACTTTACATAAATCATACAAAAAACATGCAAAATAATGAAGGTGTGTTTTCTTGATATAGGTGAGAGGTAATTACGCAATTAATTATGGAAACGTACATCTTACCTGGCTTTCTACATTTATGCAATTCAATATATACACAATGTAATGATATAATTAATATCCTATCTTGGTCAATTTAATTATCATATTTAAATCACAAAAAATAATTAATTCTTTCTTAATTTAAATTTAATCATTGAATTTACTTAATAAATGAAAAAACAGCCAAATTTGGATATTTTTAGAATATAATGTAAAAATAGACTTACTTAATTAATAACTTTTAATATATAACAAGTTCTTGTATAAATTTAAATTTTAAATTTACTTATATATTTATTAAAAAATATAGATACAAGTTAAATATTTTTATATTGTTTAATTTTATAAATAATTTAATTACTTGACTTTTTCAACAAAATGTGCTCATATTAATCAGGTTCGTAAATTTTAATTGTTTATTTTTAATTAATGATTAAACCTAATGTATGTATAGTGTTTTCTTTGAAATAATCAACAAATATAAACGATATATTTTAGAATAAGACAATCGAAATATTATATTCACTTACTGATAGTATTGATGTTATTGATACTAAAATGATATTTATAACATAACAAGATAATTCCGATAATATCATTGAAATGTCATATTAAAATACTAATTGAACCATTGTTTAATTAATTAATCAAATTTGCTAAATATTATTTCGAAATTTCCTATTTTTTTAAATATAATGCGACTTGTAAATGTGAAATTGAGATTAGATGTTCATTCATAGAATATTTTTTTCTCTCATGAAATATTTTTTTCTCTTGATTGATTTCTAGAACAAAATGTTTACTGTTTAATTGTAGGTATATTTCTGAAACTTTGCTTTTATAGTACCGTCGTTATAATTAAAGGCAAGTTAATGCAATTTGCAAAGATACATATAGACACGCAGTTGCGTTATTACTACCATTATAATCACGACACGACTTCGGCCGCTTTACCATGCATACCTACAAAAGCGTGGACAGTTCACCCGTTCGTCTGGAACTTTAACAACGCATGCAATCATTAAACTCCAACTACGCTCAAGCGGATTTACCGTCTACCGCAAGTAACATACGTGACGCATAAGCATACAGGTGTTTTGTACAATTGGTAGAAGGACAATATAATGTGGTCCGAAGTTATGCATATAATTCGAAGCATCGGACAGTTCCGCACGGAACCTACAGCTGTACATTAATGTACGATAATGTGTTCTGCGATTATGCGTCTCGCAAAATTCTCTACTCACTGTTTGGCGACACCTGGAGATTGCCGTTTCCGCCGGTCATAGCTGCCAGAGTGACAAGGTTCTGCATACTCATTGGCGACACACCCGCATTTGCTGCAACATAATATATCAGAACTATTGTAGAAATCCTCAATTACTCTAGATTTATATACCGCGATGATGAATATAGCGTACTATTTAATAATTCGTAAAAAGAGGTTAAATTAAATTTTTTTTTACCTAATTTAAAATAATTTAACAGCACATAAAACAGTTTAAATTTTTCTAATGGATTTTTTTTGGCAATAAAAAACCAAATTTTTTCTAATTTGAAATAATTCAAGAGCACATAAAACAATTTTAATTCTTTTAATGAATTTTTTTTGGCAATTAAAACATTAATATTAATATGTTAAGTACAAGCGTCTTGAATATTTCATTTATTTAATTCATGCTTTAAATTCTCTCTTCATGTATTTTGAAAGTAAATTATACGTCACTCTATGTGTTTAGTTTGTGTATACGTGAACTCATTGCGTGCGACACTCAAATGTCATCAAATGACCGTATGTTCAGCAATAACTAATAAATATATGTGTTACAGTAAAGTTAATGATAGACTAGTATTGGGGTATGTATTGTATATATCAACCTGTGTGGCATCTTTCCCGATCCCATTAAACGAAGAATTTTTATTTTTATTATTGCCATAGTAAACTGGTGCAGAACGTTTCGTTATAACTTTCGAAAAGATATGACCCATGGGACGCGATCATACGCGGTGGAAGTTGGAGAATATGAGCGTGAAATAATATAATTTATTCTGACACTGATATGACTGGCGCGGACGAGTAATTTTAGTGAAGAAACGGATAAAGTTCCATTTTGATAGCCCAAGCGAATCGATCATATTCTATGATATTTTACATCGAAATTTGATGGTGCGCAATATTTTTGAGCAAAATAAATTATCTCCCAAGAGGAATTATATATTTAAATTTATCCGCGCTCAAGATTTACGTTTTTAACTTGTTCACGAAAATAGATTTTCTATAAGTATCGGAACATTAGTATAGAGTAGGGTCAAAAGGTGACGCGATGAAGTTAAACTTATATATTAAAAGGGATAAGTTTAAAGATTGCACACGTCAGTCATACTAATATTAGAAATGTGAAAGAATTGACGTAATGTGTGATATAAATGTAAATGCATTAACGACTGTATCTAGTATGACTGACGTGTGCAATCTTTAAACTTATCTAACTGGAGATACTTTTAAAAATATTATATGATATAATCGAAAATCTCTTTTATTAATCATAAAAATCCATATTCGTGCAAAATATATAAATAAAAAACGTCAATAATACACATAAAAAGAACAAAATAAAAAAATGTTATCAACTTTCTTAAATTATTATTATATCATAATATAATGTTTCATAGAATTTTCTTGCAATCTTAAAATAAAAAAGTAAAAGAACATGTAAATCTGTCATTACATAAATACTCACATAAATTAGCGCAAGACAATAGAGATTGATAAATAGAGAACTATTTATCGATTTCAATATATTTATATACGTACAATACATATACACTAACATTTATCCATAATTCGATAAAAGTTTTTAATGATCGTTGGAATAACGTTAATACGATGGATAATAATTTCAATAATTTATATTTTGAACATCATTATGTTGAAAATATTTAATCTCATTTCAAGAGAGATTGGATTTCTACTAATCTTATTTAAATCGTCAATAAAAATTGGAAATCAAATAAGCGCAAATAAGCGAAAATAAAAAATAAAAAATCGACACTAACCATACTCACCAGCAGTGTTGCTCAGAGACGCGAGGGTGGCTAAACTTTGCAAATTCGCAGGGTTGATTTCTGCTGGACTGGGTACAGCAGGGGGTGCTGCGTGCGCAGGTGTTGCCGCACCAAGGCCAAGGTGTTGTTGTAACAATAACTGATGTTGTACATTCGACAGTGCATTAGCCGCTCCCGTGTTCGCGGCGACCGGAGTCGCGGCACTCGTCGTCGCTTGCAACTGTTGCAGAAGTTGCAACGATGCAGGCGCCAAAGTGTGCGCATCATTCTATGAGTACAAACGTGAATAATAATCATTAATCACAGTCGCTGTTATATCTCATAAATTCATCGTATCTATTTCAAAATTTTTATAAATTATTTGAGAATATCCCATTTTAATTCTACCATAAAAGCCATTAATTTATTTAAATATAATTAGTACAAAAACTTTTATTTCTAGAATTTAAATATCATTAAACTTTTAATCAAGCTTTTTATCAAATTTCTACTAAGAAAGGATTGACCGCAAATTTGCCAAAGGATACGCTTGTAGAGCTTTATGCAAATCTCATAAAACGTTCAATAGGAACAAAGCTTTGGTGTAGCCACTATACATGTTCGAAGAATACAGATCATGTTCCTCAAAAAAACGTCTGAGTTCTTCTTTTAAATATATTTTGCATAACAAAATTGAGATTGCTATGTAGAAAGTCACAAAGGATAGATAATGCATACGAATGTAAGACGCTCAAACGATAGTGCCTCGTGAAGAGTTATCGTTCTCGATGCAAATGGAATCTTTGATATCAGCCAAAGAGCTTTTATTATAAAATATTAAGTACACGTACGGCTAGGTAATGCGGTGTGATGTTGACTCCCGCGATGTTCCAGAGATTCGACTGAAGTTGCTGCATCCTCTTCTGGTCCTTTTCCTTTTGCGTATCGGCGAATTTTACGACTAATGGTGACGAACAACCCTGAAAATTACGTAATGCGTTAATGCTGCGTAAACAATATAAGAAATATAAACAACGTTGATTAATGTCACAATTATAAATTGAACAAAAATTATGAACAAAAAATATAACGTATGCACACAGTAACAAGTATTTAAACTATGTAGAATTGTTTAATAGACTGTGATTGTTTTAAAAACGTTTTTCATTGAATAATCTATACCATGATCTATAAAAAAATTTTTGAAATTTTGTGTTATTATCAATTCAATCTTAAAAGAATTAGGAAATTTATAAATCTTGCCGTGGGGTCATAATAGCAATTAAATATTTCAAAGCTCCAATAATATGATTGATAAAATGATTACGATTTGAATAAAAATTAATAAATAATTATTTTTCTCATTTAATTTCTGTTAAAACTCTAAGCAATATTCATATCTCAAAACTGTATTAATATTTTAGCGATAATGCCTTGTTTTCTGTCAATCCAAATTTTTGAACAAGCTTTTGCTATAATTTGACATTCCTTTCGTTAGCTCAGAACATTAGCCGTATTTCGTACCGAGCATCGTTTTTTACACCTGAATCCGGTGTACATTATTGGTTCAAGTCCAAGTTCACCATTGGCGTGAGAACGGGATTTGCCAGCGATCGAGTATTACATTAGTGGAAAGAGAAACTCATTCGATGGTACGCGAGACGATATACACACGAATCGCGAGGTCGATGCACCATGTACAATGCGCCTGCAATTGGAGACGCGAAATCGGCGTGCCGGTTGTGCCGGTAGTGACGAATGAGCAAGTTCGAAGAACCTGCAGCCGGAAATATTCGTGATATTAAAGTGGAATTGCCTTCGTGCCCGCATGTCTTGGCACACTCGCATTTACCAACGAAATAGTACATTGCAAAGGCGTATCGTCGCTAAATATATCTCGTGAAGTGATTAATGAAGTTGTTAAGTATTTAAATGAGTATTTCTTATATTAATGAAACAAATATATTAATCTTTTCTTCTATTAATTCTTAGATTAATGAAACAATTATATATTTAACAATTGAATATTGCAAGGCCGCGTTAAAGGAAATATATTGATATTAATTAGAATTATTTGATATTATATAAACAGATAAACCGAAAAACTTTATCTTTCACTTAAAAAAAAAATGTTATATATCATAATCTATAGCGCAAAAATATAATATTCATAGAAAAAATATGTTAACATATTTATGTGGAAAATGAATTAAATAATATAGTGAAAATCAAATATAATATTTAAGAAAGTATCAGTTATACCTAAAGAAAATATTTATAAATTTTGAGAAATCGCAACTCAATAGAATTCATTGTTTCCTTGTAAAAATTGTTGTAGAGACTATAGCAAAAGGAACGGGATAGAATATTTTTCTTAACATATAATTTAATTATTATATTTTTAACATATAAATAAATAATATCGCAATATAACATTGACAATATTGTTTTATGGTTTTTGAGCGATGCCCTAAGGAGATTCGGTAATTTATCTGTCCAAATCTCTGTCTCTCTCTCTCTCTCTCTCTCTCTCTCTCTCTCTCTCTCTCTAGCGTTTGCGAAAGCTTACGATAGCTGTAGTAGTAGTATGGAGCAATGAAAGAAGGGGAAATAGAAAAGCTTGGCGAGCTTTGAATCGCTAAGGTGTCGACCAGTTCAGTCGTCTTTACTCTCTCGCTTGGTTTTAGTTACTCCGAGTTAAATCGGTATATTTCACTGAAGTGACTAGTCGGATTGTAGATGCACACATGGATGTTTCGTCGAGTGACAATGGCATCTAGCCAATACATCTGACGACTCGGTTGAATTGCCATGAAAAGAAACGATCTACGAAGACTTTGTATGTGACCCGCTTTGTGTCGTCATCTGCCCCCCAGTCTTCCCGACACTGTTTTCTCCGCTTAAAAGATCGGAGTCCTCACAACCCAGTTCTTTCTTGCAACATAAATATGAGAGCAGATTGCATGTCCTCATTGGATTGCTTATTATTTTCACAATCAACTTTTCGAAGAAGTTTTCATTATTATCTTTTAGTTAATTGTAGAAAACGTAGATGCAAAAAAGTCAATGGTGGAAGAATAAGAGATGAAATTATCATTAAATGTGTGTGTGTGTGTGTGTGTGTGTGTGTGTGTGATAGATTAATAAACGGTACTAAACGCGACTAAAGAAGTAAATAAATGAATAAAACCTGTCATATTCTTATAAAAGCTGTATCATCCCTGTATGAAAAGTTGCCACTGTATTCTCAACTTATTATAAGAGATAGAATATTAGATGACGTTATTGTGATTATTAATCAAGATGTTACAGTAAAGCTGTTAAAGTTGTAGTAAACTATCTAATAATTTGAACACTAGTTACCATGCTTTACGCGCAAAACTTAGAAATTTCTGACATCAAGATTAACTTCAATACTTTGATATATATAGATTAAATTACATTAATTATATAAAATCCATAACTTTTATTCATAAAAATTAGAAATATTAATTAATTACAAAATTAATAACTCCAATCATTTTAAGATTAATAACTAGGATCAAATTTTTATTTAATTTTCAAGTATAGAGTTGTATCTAAAAATATTATATAAAATGTCTCCTTCGTTTATAATTATACTCACCTCCATTGTCTGAGAATGATGCAGAGCTTTGATGGCATTGATTGCGTATTGCTTACTAGCGAAGGTAACGAAGGCACAGGCTTTACTTTTCCCGGTGCTGTCCCTCAGCACCGAGCATTCCTCGATCATTCCGTAAGCGCTAAACATGTTCCTAACATCGTTTTCTGTGAATTTTTTCGATAGCATCCCAACGAACAGTTTGCGCTCTGTAATGATAAAACATAACTTCCATTAGCAATTGTTTGCAGTATCGCGTCACCATAGAATCATCATGAAAAGTGAACAGATGTATTTCATTAGTAATATGTGCGATTTTAATAATTCAAAAATAGCACCCGGAAGATAATCGCCTTAAAGATAATATGTGATTATTCATCCTTGATATGATTGTATACTTAATTAGTTAGTGAGAAAATGTCTGGCTGAGTAATCATACAGTCGAATGATTAACAAACATAACTATAGTCAATTGTCATTAACAGAACGTATACTATTACAGAATACTATTACTGAAGAATTACGTAGTGGATAAATTAAGTGCATTACTCATTCTTATTGCGCTTCTTATAACTAGATAGTTCAATTAACTGATATTTTTCTATAATTATATGTATATATATATATATATATATATATATATACATATAATTATAGAAAAATATCAGTTAATTAAAATATTTAATATGTATATGTATATATATGTATATATATATATGTATATATATATATACATACACATATTTAAATTTTATCGAAGACAATTCAAAGATATAATCTTCTCTATTTCTTCTTTCTATTTTTTATGTTTATCATGATTATAACAGTCAGGATCATTATTGATTATTTCACAAGTAGCATCAGCACTTTACATATGCCATTATGGTAATAGAGTTTGCATAACATCAAAAGAATTAGAATAAACATGAAAAAAATTCTTTTACCAAGCCTTACGTAAAACTAACTATTTTCCTATTCTTTATATAAGTTCTGGTTATTTAAACTTGTTAGCGAACTCATTAAAATTTTTATAAATGACATTCGTGACCAATTATTATCATTCGTGACATATTCTATGTCATGAATGAAGGAAAAAATAATATTCTGTAGATTAAAGGTTAACAATTACCATCTAATATTCTTGGCTATGAGTAGCACCATCGATTAATTGAAAAAAAAACCGAGTGTTTTATTCGATATAACGTTCTTAAACTTTGACTCACATCATCTCGAGCCGAGGTCACAAGTGACATCATGATTTCCCATCTCGCCCACCGTTTAATAAGCGTTTACGGATAATGCGGACAGTGGCTAGCTATGGGTCATTTGACGACGGTACAGACCGCTAGCAGAGGCGACCTGGTCAATATTTGTTTAGGACCGGCAGAAAAGCTTCACCTAGAGAAAAGCCGCTTATGTAAATTCGGCATCGCGGGGGATAGGCTAGGCAAAATACTCGAATATATCTCTCGAGTCTATCTTCGCTTCTCTCATCTCTGTCATGCGTATTCAATTCTCTTATGGATCTTCTCGGTGTTAATGCACCGCTTATTCTGCGAGAACGTGATGTACATTTAAAAAATCGGAATAACAAAATTTTGCGTAGAAATTACGACGTATTATACACAATGCAAGTTTTTTTTTTATTTTTAAACTCAGGTGATGCAGGATACAAATTTTTTTTATCTTGTTATTAAAAAGTTTGATTCTCAAAACTAAATTAATGAAGTTGTATGCTTTAATTAATAATTTTATATGTATACATATATCCGAATAAGTTTTAGGAATTAATTATAAAATCCATGTGATAATAACGTTTTGTTTTGTGCAATCTATAGCATATGTGAATTTTTTTGTTGCAAAGATTAAACCTGGCTTTGTATTATCATTCCTGAGTATTCACTTTTGCATAAATGCTGCGTGTATTAGATATGCAACAGTAACTCGCATCATATTAATTAATATTTCAGTGCCCTAATAACGTGGACTAATGTATTAATATTAATATCGAACTATGCAAATTCGCCGGCCAACAAGAGGGCTAAACATGACGAGTATTAATATGTGAAAATTGTGGCTCCCTGTCAAATGTTGCTATCCAATTCGCGCGATATCAAAGGAACTCGATGCTGCGTTTCAAGCTATGCGTAGCCATACTAGAGCGAATTGAAATCGAGAATACATCGATTTATAGTGCGTGGAATGTATCCATAGAAGTTGATATCAAATTCACGGTACAATTGCGTATGATCGTATTTCCGGCAATCACCAATACGCTTTATGTGCAAATAATTACGGCCCATAATGCTGACAAATAACGCCATGACTACATTTTGTAATGCTTACTGTACAATGAAATATAAGAGATATTAATAATATAAAATGTACTGCTTTGAAATCCATTATTACATTTAAACAATATTAATAAGAATAACAATATTTATATTTATAATAAAGAATGTAATAATAAATTATACGATAATATAAAATATCTTGCTTTGTGAAATTTATTATTACATTTAAATAATGATAATATTATCAGTTTAATATATTAGTTTTTTATAACAAACTTTTTCATTAATAAAAGTTATAACGTTATAGCTTTACATGCCAATTATTTTCGATCATTTTTACGGTATTTTATAGAAGTGATACTGACACGGCGATACCAGTTTTCGAGCAATTGTAAATCCTAAAACAAAGCCTTTTGCTTGAAAAATGTGATTCCTATATCAATTCAATCTATCCGGATAAAAACTTCCTGTGACAATGATCCTCTTTGCGTTTAACGAGACGTATTTAAGGGGTTGTGTCTGACCGAAACGTCCGAAAAATAACAAAAAAAATATACTGAGACCAGAGGATCAAGGTTTGTTCAGAGGTTGATCCGTGCCGCGGGGAAGAGCAGAAAGGATGAGAAGAGCACTGAATATATCGGTCCAGACTACGGCAAACTCGTCCGCAGTTAACGATTTAATTAATTTCGCAGCCCCTAGCGACCGGATACCCGCGGTTGCCAACGACGGATCGGATTTCCCGCGGAAATCGAATGAAAATTTTAAGCCCTTTCCCTTCGCGGGGGAAATACGGTGTAAAAAGGCAACCAGCTGGGGAGGGGAGGGGAACGAAAGACAAATTCTCTTCTCTTCCTCACCCCTCCTGCGTTCCAGCGAAACTGCGGCTTTCGCGGAATGTTTATTAAATACCGAAGGTGCTGGTTTATGCCCTTCCCTTTTCCTTCTAAACGGACCGAAATTTTTCGCCCATTGCTACCAAGAGGGATGGATATTATCAGTGTGCGAAAGTCAGCGTTACGAATATTTCGAGGTCGATCAAGGGTGGAGTCGTGATCAAATACAAAATAAAGAGGCAAGCCGCTGTCTTGGTATCGTCAATTTAATTCATATATAAAAATAATATGTGTGAAAGATTTTGACAGAAAAGAAAAGTTTATACAAATGATTGATCAAGTAGATTGTAGGAGAAAATTTTTAACAATTAGTAAAGAAAAATAAGAAAAAAATAAAAAACGAAAAGAAAAAAATATTTATAAAGTTAATCAACTTGTTAAAATTGAGATAAAATCAATTAATTCCGTCATTCATAATTTCGTATTTCTAAATATTATTAATAAGTCATTCATAATTTCGTATTTCTAAATATTAATAAGTCAATTTTCGTATGATAAAAACATGAAACAGCCATTGTAAATTTGCATTTCTATTTTTCACAGTCAATTGCAATAGAATTCGTTTTAAAAATGTATCAGTAGCTTTAGAATTCTTAGAACCAGAATCTTATTAATTATATCGAGACTGAAAATAGAGTGCTAATTTCATAGGAGTTTTATACACACACACACACACACACACGCGCGCGCGCATATATATATATATGCGAAATATCTGTACAATATAGCTATAACAATATATATGGTAGCTAATCCTAATGTTTCTCCTACTGTATCATCGGGATACTGTCGAGCTTATTGTAATCACATTTAAGGCTATTAACGTGGGAATAAAATAAGAGCGCGATACGAAGCCACTGGTCTCTGTAACTGCATTTGTAATGTAATTCACGTGCAAACTAGATACGACGCAACGTCGGATCATGCAGGCGGATATGAGATGCAGATCGCGCCTGCTGGAATGTTTGCATCGCACCGAATATTCCGTTAGGATGTCTGCAGCACGTCGTCGCGGAATACGTGCATCAAAGTATTGCGCATAGTCTATCGATCGAGCTTTATAAGATCTGCATAGTGAACGAACACAATAATATTATAGAAGTCATTATAAATTACAAGTATCATGCAGCTTTTCATGCTGTCACAAAATGGTTTGCACAATTGTTCGATTGTTAGAATTTTCGAAAGATATGATATATACATGTAATTTAAACACGTTTCTATGTAAAAAGCAATCCACAGAGAGAATACAAACTAACAGTAATATTACATCAATGTTACAATTTCCTATTTAACTATGTAATTATTATGTACAATATGTGTTATATTACATTTACATTGTTGAGTGAGAAGTTATAATATTGATGTAATTACTATTAGTTTATTTTCCACAGAAACTAATACAGTATTCAATTTTCAGTTCTAAATTCATCTTACCTAAAATGTTCATAAAATTTAAAATAACTGAATAAATTTTTTATATTTATATCGTTTGTACAAGATAATCTTAGTGTTGAGTAAAATGCAATTTATAACATATTTATGTGTGATAAGAATAGATCATCAATCATATAGATATAGATTATATCAAATAATTTTTATCATTATTAAAGTCAGCATCGGAGAATTATTGCTAACATAATGTTGCTTCGCTGATAAAAAGCAATTTGTTTACATTCCGTACAATTAGTCAGTGTTAATGATAATTTACTCGCATCCGCGAGGAAGCGTTTATTCGATACAAACAGGTGTCTGACTTCCACAAACGAAATGCTTGTGGCCAATCGGTGGCCAATGCGGTCACTTGTGTTCGATTCGATCTCCTTCTATGCATCTCACGGGCCCATTCACAACTTGTACAATTAAATCGCAGCCTACGAAACGTGATAAGTTTTCCAACGAATTTCCGAACCAGGCATTTCAAATCGATCGTCGTGCTCCGATATGCAACCAGCAACCTTCCACGCCGTCGTTCCTTACTCGATTTCGCCTTTTTCGCTGCACGATGCGCCGAAGCGC